CTCCAGTTCTGTCTCCTTCAACTCAAGACAGCCTGAAAGGGACACTCCAGGAAAGATTTCTTTCTCTATGTTTTTGGGAAGTCCAAGTCCCTAAGAAATGCCTGACACCTTTATGACAAATTTCGCAGTTGAACAGCCACACTCTGGAAGCCTGCAGCTGACTTCGCTATGATAGGCAGAGCGGTGTAGGCAACAGCTAGAGAGAGAGAAAAGGAAAGAAATGATGGAAAGTTCCAACAACGACCCTTGATGAGGCTGAAGGGAGAAATACAGAGACAGGATTGCTCCCCAAACAGTTTCTCTTTATGAAAAGTAGAATGACTCCCTTTCCTTTTTAAAGCCCTTTTGGCTCCACCTCCTCTCTCCCTTAGTGACACTTGAGTGAGCCTCTGTTTGCAAATGTGAATGTGGGCAATTCCACGCTACAGGAAAGCAGGGACGGCTGCCAGAGAGGAGATAACTGGCTACTCACCATAAATATTCCGGGCAGAACTAGGGAGAGAGCAGTTAGGGGGCTGTGGAGTTGCTCCCGGTGTCTTGGAGGTACCTGCAGAATAGTGACTAGGCTTTAATGTCTTGAAGGATAGAAACAAAGTTAATTTTTTTTTTGTAATGTTTATTTTTCAGAGAGAGAGAGAGAGAGAGAGTGAGCAGGGGAGGGGCAGAGAGAGAGGAAGACACAGAATCTGAAGCAGGTTCCAAGCTCCAAGCCCAACACAGGGCTTGAACATGCAGACTGTGAGCTCATGACCTGAGCCAAAGTCGGCGCTCAACCGACTGAGCATAATGGAAACAAAGTTAAACCATGCCGACGGTGGTGAACAGCAGTGCCAATAATTCAGACTTAGGAGTAATTGATCATTCACAGGAGCAATATTAGAGCACAATGTCAACACCAGTGCACATTCCTGGAACTTAATCGTTTTTTCTCTCCTGTATATTTTATAGCGGAATTTGAAAGATTATTCTTTCCAAATCAAAGGGAAATCCCTGAAGCCAAATGAAGAGATACAGTATGCACAGACACCTTTTCTTTCAGCATGAGCATAATAAAACATCATGAGGGGCCAGGAGTGCAGGGAAAGGAGTGGGTTGTTATTATAGAGCCGTGTTGGAAAAAATAAGCTAATAGTGCAAAATCTGGGAAGCACTGGAAATCCAGCAGAGCTGAATGCTGTCCCTTCTCAGACAATTTAGGCTATCTTTTCACGTATCAGGGATAGAAAATAAAAGCCTGAAGCATCCACTGGCTATCTCCTCAACCACTTTGCACTTGGAGAAACAGCAGTTATTTCGTCGGGAGGACACCCAGGGCCCAGAAATATCCAGCAAGGGCAAACCATTTACACCAGAATTGATGGACAATGGAAATTTCTGCCAGTTTACTTCATCCTGGAAAACAAGCTTTCATGTAAGTTGCCCAGAGGTAGTGTTCCAAGTGCTAGTCGAAATGTAGATAAAGTGATAGTCACAAAAATAACAGTCACACTAGTGAACACCCATTCTGGAAGACAACGGGAAGGACTCCAAGCCTTTTACGCATATTTAATTATGTCTTCATCATTCCTCAAATACTGGGTCACTTTCTGAAACAGCTAAAGTCAGGATTGCTCTGATTTTAGCCGGCCTCTGCCAGACAGCTCTGATTTCTTACAGGAGAAACAGACCCTGGCGGGCAGCAGAAGTCATGTGGGGGGATGTACGGAATATTCCATTGCTTTCTGAACTCACTTGGACTCAAGAGTCGGCATGAGTGTCCTCCAAATAACCTGCACTAAGTTACCAACCTTGTTAAGCTTCCCCTTCAGCAAAATGCATTGTCAGTGTTCCAGGTGACAACAATTAGAAGGACAGTCAAGTATCAAGCTGGATTAGTCGAGAGGAGTGAGGAGGGTGGTATGAACACAAATAGGAAGTACTCCACAACTATATTTATTCTATTTGGATATGAATATCTCTCATATTATTCTAGGTTGTAAAAAGGCTCACTTTCCCAATTACATGCCCCCTGGGCTGATGTTATCATTAATGTTGAGCATCAGCCCCTTAGGAGATGACAGCGTCAGCATGGCTATGGTGGACGCCAAGACTGGTGACTGATGTAAAAGACCAATCTCAGCTAATCCACAGACAATCCAGGGTTTCCCAGATAGCAAAATCTTAAGACAGCTACCCACCCAGAAAGGACTTGCAGGGATATTTTATTGCTCCATAGTCTTACTCCTAGATAAAACTGAACCTCTCCTGGGCAAATGAACATCCTCCTTATTTTAAAGTTGCCCAGAAATCAGTTTTATGAGAGAAATACCCACTTAGTTTCTGGGATTGAGTTAAATTAACCAATTCATTGATTAGTTAAACATCTATATTTGATAGGGCACTGTGTGGAGTACATGAAATAGAAGTCATGGTCCCCTAAGTTCAAGAGCTTGCTTAGGTGGATTAACAACAACAAAATATAGTTTATGAGTATGAGCTAATGAATGGCCAGTCACCAATTATTCTGGTGTCAGGAAGGAAGGGGCAACAGCAACAAACTGTGGACTGGAGCATGCAGTGAAGCTTTGTGTGATACACAGGAAATCTCAGATAAGCATGGGGAGGAAGAAGCATGCTGACAAGAGAATGTGGAACAGGAGTGGACAAAGTGGACAAAGAAAAGAAATGCTTTTTTATTAGATCCTGATGGGACACAGCTCGATGGGACCTGCTGGCAGGTCAGTAAGAGAATTAGGCATTAATGGCAAGGAGACATCTCTGAATGTTTTTAAGCATACCTGGACATCAGTAGGAAACGGGGGGGGGGGGGGGACTATCAGGAGACATGGTTATATGTGTTGGTCACCCTTCTTACTTTCCAGATAAAACTTTCCTACTGAAGCACAAAGCATCTAATTCTCCTGGGCTACCTATTTGCTATATGCACAGCTGCTATTAATCATCACCACCACCACATCATCTACAGATTGCTCCCAATGAGCCAGGCATATAGGAAGTAGATGCTTTATTCACATCACCTCCAATCTTCCACATCACCTCGCCAGGTGGATATTATTGGTCCATTTCACAAACGAGGACACTGGAGATCAGAAAGGCTGAGAGATTTTCCCAGTATCACACACAATTCAGAGTATATGAACTCTAAAGTCATTATTGTCTCCTTGTGAGCAGTGGTTTTGATCAGAATAAACAGGCTGGGGCATCATTAAAAGAAAGAGCAAAACTTAACTACACGTGTGTATATGACTGCAGGAACCAGAAGTGACAAGGCAGTGTATTTTGCTAAGAGTAACTATTAGCACTTAACATCACCTGCAGAAACAAACTATTTCATGGACTACCTTTATCAATGACTGTAAGGTGAATCAGTGTAGTTCCTACAAGTTTGAAAACATTTTTTTTGCTTTTCAAAGAGAAAGCTATTGGCATGTGTCTGGCATTCTTGGGATTCATATGTGGCAGAAACTGAAATGGTTTCAAGGGGAAGAAATTGGGAGAGACACAGTCACAAGAGTTAGCCACAAAAGGCAAATTATAATTTATCAAGATATAAATAAGAGATGTAAAAGTTTTATTGAAAAATAAGGGCAATTGTGCTCCTTAGTATTTACCCCAATGAGCTGAAAACTTATGTCCACAAAGAGAACCTACAAATATTTATAGCAAGCTTTATTCATAATTGCCTACGGTTCAAAGCAACCAAGATGTCCTTCAAGAGAAGAATGGATAAATAAACTGTGGTATAGCCATACAATAGAATATTATTCAGGAATAAAATGAACCATCAAGCCACTAAAAACATGAGAAATCATAAATGCGTATTGCTAAGTGAAAGGAGTCAATCTGAAAAGCTACATACTACATGAATTCAACTTTATAACATCCTAGAAATGGCAAAACTATGGAAACAGTAAAAAGATCAGTGGTGGTCAGGGGTTGGGGTGGAGAGAGATGAACAGGGGGAGCACAAAAGATTTTTAGGGCAGTAAAACTATTCTGTATGATACAATAATGGTGGATACATGCCATTACATAATTATATATTTGTCCAAACCCCTATAATGTACAAGAGTGAACTCTAAACAATGGACTTCAGTTAATAATAATAACAATGTATCAATATTGGCTCATCAATTGTAACAAATGTAGAACACCAATGCAAGGTATTAATAATAGGGAAACCGAGGGCAGGGTGGGGAGGAATACAGCAATTCTCTGTACTTTCTGCACAACTTTTCTGTGACCCTAAAACTGCTTTTATGAAAAACAGTCTATTTTATTTTTTAAGAAAAAGAAAGGAGTCACTATCCACTCTCCAGGGAAGCAATGCTATACTTAACGCACACATCAGTTAATGCCATACTTCTACCAAATGAAATCAGATTTTAAAAAGCACTTGGTAAACAAGAGTAAAAGAGGAATCCTGCCCACTCTCCACTTTTCAGTTAAGTCCACCCCAGTCACCTAGAAAGGTTCCTCTGACCGAGAGGAAGAAACAAGACTCCAGAAACTGAACAAATAAAAAAAGAAGAGCAGAGCAATCTATAATCTATAATTTATAATTCTATGAGGCAGCAACAAAATTTAAATCTAAAAGAACAGCTCATTTTAGACTGCATTGCATTTATTTACATAATCTCAGCATGCCTGTTTGTTTGCAACCTGAGGAGTTTCTTGGGTGAAATTTGAAACTGGCCCTTGTACACGCATCCTGGGCTAGGAGAGACAGAAGAAAGAGGCAGGCCACTCCAGATTGACAGGTGGCAGTTTTTTTGTTACTGTTGTTGTTACTCCTGAAATTCAGAATCTTACTTAGAATCTATTTAAAGTAGGGGGAAAAAACCATGTCAAGAAAGACCAGGTGGAAAATGGATTTCCAATAAAATGGAATTTGGGGGCAACAAAGTCTAAAACGCCACAAAAGAAAAATGGCACCACAATTTTACTTGAACGATGGCTAATTACTTGCATTTTTGGCATTGTTAATCACTGAATCTGGGTTTTCCTCTGAATTCCACATAGAACATGCACTGCACAATTTTATCGTAAAATACCTGCTTTTTACACACATTTTAGGATAAGCTATGGAGGCGGCAGTTTTAATAAGCAAGGAAACTTACATAGGAGGCTTAACACAGGAGGCTGCAAGACGAGTGCACCTCTGCACTCCCTCGCCAAAATGTTAAGAGTTTATACAGAAGCCTTACCTGGGTTCTCTCACATGTATTGTACAGATAGTCTCAACAACACTTTGCTCTCTCAAGGTTGCATCTTTGAAATGGCTCCGGCTACGGGAACCATGAGCGGAACATATATTCCAAGTCCAGGACAGGAGGTGAGGAGCCTCTAACTGCGTGGTCCCGCCCGCGGGTCAACTGGCGGTCAGATCCTCTTGACGACCTTCTCCAGCAATACCTCCGTCGTCATTCTCTCAGGTATTTTTAACTTCTAAAAATGGTAAGGTTTAGGGAAAGAACCTCTGGCTTTTTATGTTAAATCATCCACGGTACAATCTTTCCGCTGACCTTGAGTTCCGACGAATCTGTAAGACGCATAGTTGTTAAGTACAGAGCATTCGAAGGCTGACGGGAGTACTAGCGACGCTGTAAACTTCATGTCATTCAAACTACTTGTTGGAAACTTATGAAAATGCAAACCACAGTTTGCCGTTCTTCCTTTGTTCTTATTGTATTTATAAAACTGTGAAACAGTATCTTCTTTCTCCTACCTCCAAGGAGAGAAATTATTTGGGGGTAAATAATCATAGTTTACCACTTAAAATTGGAAGGATAGATGGTGGAAAATATTTGAGTAAATGATATATTTTTAAAATTTCAAACACCAGAGAACTAAAATAAATTAATATTGCTTTCATTTGGTTTTCCCAGCCTGACTTCTAATTTAGATGCATTCATTTTTTGTTTTTATTAAAATAAAATTCATGCAGGGGTGCCTGAGTGGATCCGTTGGTTGGGCATCCCACTCTTGATTTTGGCTCAGGTCATGATCTCACAGTCATGGGATCGAGCCCCACATTGGGCTCTGTGCTGGGCATGGAGCTTGCTTGGGATTCTCTCTCTCTCTTTCTCTCTCTCTCCCTCCCTCTCCCCCCCTCCCATTTCCTCTGTTCACATGCGCGTGCGCGCGCGCTCGCGCGCTCTCTCTCTCTCTCTCTCTCTCTCGTCTTTCCAAAAATAAAATAAAGTAAAATAAAATTTATGTAAAGAGAACAGATCTTGTGTGCAAAGTCTGATGTTGGTAAATGTATGTACACATTTAACAAACACTATGACCAAGATGTAAAATGTTTGCAGTACCACCAAATTTTCCCTTGTGCTCTCTCCAGTCAGTCCCACCCCCATCCACAGGCAACCGTTGTTCTAGTTTCTATCATAGTTCAGTTTTATCTGCTCTTGAATTTGATATGAATGCAGTCATATAGTAGGTTCGCTTTTGTATCTGATTTCTTTTGCTCAACATGTTTTTTGACATTCGGCCATGTTGCATGTATTGGTACTTCTTTCTTTTTTATTGCTAAGAGTATTCTTTAGTATGAATATATAGCAATTTGTTTATCCATTCACTTATTGATGGACGTTTGGATTGTTTTTAGGTTTGGCTCAATGAATGTTTTTATTTCTGTTTAGTTAATACCTAATTTCTGGTTCATAGGTTAGGGTTTAACTATGTTTAACTTCATAAGAAGCTGCCAAACATTTTTCCCAAAGGGGCTGCTCCATTTTGTGCTCTTATCAGCAACACATGTGAGTTCTGGTTCTCCCACATCCTCACCCACATCTAGTATTGTCCATCTTTTTAATTTTAAATATTTTAATAAGTGTGACTTAACATTACATTGTAATTTTAATTTGCCTTTCCCTGATGAATGACGGTGTTGACCATCTCTTATGTTAATTGATGATTCACCTTTTGTCAGTTGTCTATTTGTATCTTTTGCCCATTTCTTTATTGGGTTTTAAAAAAAAATTTTTTTTAATTTTTTAATTTATAGTTCTTTATATTCTGGATATAAATTCATATCTGTGTATTTCAAATATATAAATATGTATATCAGCTCTGTGTATTACAAATATTTTCTCCCAAGCCATGTCTTGTCCATTCATTTTCTTAATAGTGTCACTGATGAGCAAAAGATTTTAAGTCTGATGAAGTCCAAGTTATTAATTTTTTTCTTTATGGTTACATTTTTTGTATGTGTTTTTTCAAATAAGTTATTGCTTATTCCAGGCTCAATATATTCTGATGTTTTTTTCTAGGCACTTTAGAGTTTTAGCTTTTATGTTAGGGTTTGTGATTCATCTTTATTAATTTTTGTATATTATGTGAGGTTGGAGTAGAGGTTTATTTTTCTCCATATATGTATATACTGAATATATACTTCAATTTGGGGAGAACGACATCGTAACAATAATAAGTCTTCCAGTCTATGAACAGTCTATATTTCTCCATTTATTTTAAGTCTTCTTTATTTTCTCTCATCAATGTTTTTCACTTTGCAGTGTAGAGATTTACATATCTTTTGTTAAATTTATTTGTATTTTATGTTCTTGAATGTTCCTATACATGAATAGTTTTTCAATTTTCTTTTCTTTTTTAAAAAATTTTTTTAATGTTTATTTTTGAGAGACAGAGAGACAGAGCGTGGCTGGGGAAGGGGCAGAGAGAGACACAGAATCCGAAGCGGGCTCCAGGCTCTGAGCTGTCAGCAGAGAGCCTGACTTGGGACTTGAACTCACAGACCACGAGATCATGACCTGAGCCCAAGTCGGATGCTTAACCGACTGAGCCACTCAGGCACCCCCAATTTTATTTTCTATTTGTTTGTTGCTCTTTTATGGAAATAAAATTGAGTTTTATATATGGACTTAATATCCTGCAGCCTTACTAAATATTTCATTATATAAGGAGTTTTTTTCAATGAATCCAAAGTCTAATGTGTTTCTCCCACAATACCAGATGTAAAATTTAAAATAAGACACATAGTCATGGGGCGCCTGGGTGGCACAGTCGGTTAAGCGTCCGACTTCAGCCAGGTCATGATCTCGCGGTCCGTGAGTTCGAGCCCCACGTCGGGCTCTGGGCTGATGGCTCAGAGCCTGGAGCCTGTTTCCGATTCTGTGTCTCCCTCTCTCTCTCTGCCCCTCCCCCGTTCATGCTCTGTCTCTCTCTGTCCCCAAAATAAATAAACGTTGAAAAAAAAAATTAAAAAAAAAAAAGACACATAGTCATGTTTTTTTCTCAAATATCAGCCATCAGTCAGGAGCCACATCAGGAAAAAGACTGGAAAAGAAAACCTCTAACTGGCCCTATGAAAAGTAGACATTAATTACATTTTATGGAAGGTAAATCTGAAGTTGGAGAAGCTAAGGATCTGACCCAAAGTCTCAGAGCTGTTGAGTGATGGAAATGGTATCGAGTGATTGAGATAGACATACGCTCCAAGTCTGTCTGACTCTAGAACTTGTGCCTAAACCAGTAGTCTCTAGGACTTCTTTTATTTTGCTAAAAATGCCAAGATGGGCACCATCCCCCATGCCAGCTCCTGCGACCAGGGCACCAACAGGAAAATATGAGTTACCCTATCCATCCTCCTATTCTCTTTTGCCAACTTCTTGGTGTCTCCCCTATGTTGAGAATTCCACCTGATAAGGTCCCTCTGGCTGCTGGTTGTGTTGTTTGAGAAATGAAGTAGTCTTTTTCAGTGATCCATAAAGATGTGCCTGGAGATAATAAGAAAAAGAGGCAGCCATTACATTAAATAAATAGATGTCCTGACCATCAAGGAAGTTTAATTCAGTACTCAAGACAGGGAAGTCAAATGTGAATGTAAGAAAACAACCTGAAGAATGAATGCAAGTGTTTGTGGCATAACCAATAAATGGTGTTATTCCAAACTCTACACAAAGACTTTACATATATTGGAGAAAGAAGAGAGGAAGAGATTTAGCCAGTCTTGCTGAGACCAAGACATCTTGGAACAATTGTTTAAACACTTGAATCTCAGATCCTGTGATAGCTCACCTGAATTAAATCTATGCCATGGAAAGGATTCATTCTCTCATAGGTCACCTGTGGCTCCAGTTTCCCTGGATGCATTCATGTATTCATTTTAGCCCTTTCATTAAATATATCTGCTAAACCAAGAATAACAAAATTATACAACTGTGGCATTGTACAGATAAAATTTGTGGGTGGTATTTTTAAACTATGCATCAGAATCTGACTGCCTTATTTATTGAAAGGAAAATTACATTGCTTCCAGGGAGTTTGGGAACTATCATCTTCATTCTTAATCCTCTCAAATGAAGGAAATTACAATATAAAATTGAGCTCACTATGCATATAAACAAGTAAAATGATGGCCTCAGTCCTCCCACGTGTGCTGAGGCAAAAAGAAGCATTGAGATTATCTTATCTGGGCCTTAGGCTATAGCGTGTCCAAAATATAACTTCCAGAAGGGATCCACTTTATAATTATGACCAAAATGAACAGAACTGAGATTTGTGATTGCCTGGCCCACTCACAATATAGCAGACTTTGGCATGATTCCTGGCTTATATTCTTATTCTATATATTAGGAAATAATATTTTTTATTTCTCACCAGTTAGATAAGTGGTCAGTTTAATATAACACATATGTTGATCTTGTATCAAAATAAGTCTGACCTTTAAAAGCCAACTTGCATTTGGTACAACTCTTTTAGCAAGCAATTTGGCAACACATTTCAGAGCCATAAAAATATTCATAGGCGGTGACCGTGTAATCTCACACTTGGCAATTTCTCCCTAAAGGAATAATCTCTCCACAAAAAAAAGAAGTTATAATCATACAAAAAGGTATTGTAATATTACTCATGGTAGCAAAAATTAGAAAGAGTGTTCATTTACAATAACAGAAATAGTTAAGAAATTATGAGAATATGATATACTCATTAAAAGGGAAATGTTTGTTGCAGTATTAATAGAAAAAATACAAATGCTTATCTGTCCTACAATTATAGTATTTATTATTTTTGAAAAACAGATAAAAGACACAGAAAAACTGATAGTGATTTGTTTGAATAAGCAGTAAGTTTATGGGTGTTCCTTCCTTTTTAAGTTAAGATTTGGTTGTGTAAGTTGTAATTTTATGTATTTATTTTTTGCCCATAATCCAAACTTCATTGAAAAACTGACACCAAAATAGGAGGTCACTGTTGTATACTTTAAAAAATTAAACATAATTTAATTATCTTGGTAGAGTGACTTGAATTACTGAACTGATAAGGCGTTCTGCAGTATAACACAAATTCAAGAGGTTATGTGGATCATTAGTGTTGCTTTCTTCTGGATGAGCACCCTTCTGTGAGTCTGGCCTTCCCTCCTGTTGGCTGGTCCAACACTGTTGAACAGCCTACACAAAGAACCATCTGAGCATGGTTGAAAACTGTGATAATCTTTTAATAACCTAGACATTTTCATCCATAAAATAGGAGTTTGGGCTTTGAACTAACCGTTTCTTTTTATGTTTTTTCTTTTCTTCTTCCAAGGACAGTGTAGTAAATCTCTAGCCAAAGCCATGTTGATCGTTTCGCATTCCCAGCCAGTCCCAATCTTTAAGGCTAAAGTTGTAATTTTAAAACAAACTTAGTAAGGTGCACCTGGGTGGCTCAGTCGGTTAAGTGTCCATCTTTGGCTCAGGTCATGATCTTGGGGTTCATGAGTTCGAGCCCTGCAGCAGGCTCTTTGCTGACATCTCAGAACCTGGAGCCTGCTTCAGATTCTGTCTCTCTCTCTCCCTCTCTCTCTCTCTCTCTCTCTCTCTCTGCCCCTCTCCCCCTTGAAAATAAATATTTTTAAAAATTAAAATAATGGAATTCCCTTAGAATGTTTCTCTGCTTCTAACAGAGCCACATTTAAACTACTCAAAATTCCATCTGGAATTCAAGACCTCACAGGTAAGGATTCTTCATTGTAGCCTCAATAGTTCATGTCAAGAACATTCAGGAGTCCAAAACATACATTCTATTTATTTAATTTTAAAAAAAAATTTTTTTTATTAATTTTTTTTTCAACGTTTATTTATTTTTGGGACAGAGAGAGACAGAGCATGAACGGGGGAGGGGCAGAGAGAGAGAGGGAGACACAGAATCGGAAACAGGCTCCAGGCTCTGAGCCATCAGCCCAGAGCCCGACGCGGGGCTCGAACTCACGGACCGCGAGATCATGACCTGGCTGAAGTCGGACGCTTAACCGACTGCGCCACCCAGGCGCCCCTAAAAATTTTTTTTTTATTATTAACGTTTATTTCTTTTTGAGACAGAGAGAGACAGGGCATGAACGGGGGAGGGTCAGAGAGAGAGGGAGACACAGAATCCAAAACAGGCTCCAGGCTCTGAGCTGTCAGCATGGAGCCCGATGCGGGCTCGGACTCACAGACTGTGAGATCATGACCTGAGCCGAAGTCGGATGCTCAACCGACTGAGCCACCCAGGCACCCCCATACATTCTATTTAAAACCTGAGACATAAGATGGAATGATTCTCCAAAGGATGCTTGGTTTAAAATTTCAAATCTCTATCTTCCCCATTATTAGCAAATTAATTTGTATCCAACATATTACATATTTCCAACATAGGAGGAGAAACATAAAGAAGCCTTGACAGGACAGTTTTTCCCTGACAATTACTGAGAAAGGACATGGTTACTTGACATAATTATTGAAATTAGGCATGTGTGGGTGGAAACATACACTTAATACTGTTTTATATGATAATTTCATATTTCCACCTGAAGTAGTTTTTTAGTCTATTTTTTATGTATAGGTACAGGTTTACTAAAGCATTTCCTTTAAAATTTCTCTTGAGAATATTTGGAGTTGGCCCACCACTGTGTCTCTTCAAGATGAGACTTTCCATCACTTCCTGTCAAGCTTGTCTTAATACTGTTAAATATTTTACTTTTCCTCAGATAAGTGTTAACCTAGTAATGTAATATGATTATGGAGCTTTAAAACAAATTTCCATGTGGAATGTTTCATGTATAGGAAATATTAGTTATATAATAATCTTTTTTAATGTTTATTTTGACAGTGTACATACATGAGTGGGGGAGGGGCAGAGGGAAAGAGAGAATCCCAAGCAGACGCCACACCAGCACAGAGCCCAACTCAGGGTCCAGTCTTATGAACCATGACATCATGACATGAGCTGAAATCAGGAGTTGGACACTTAACTGACTGAGCGACTCAGGCACCCCTAGATATATAATCATCTTTATCCACATCTGAGTCTTCAACAAGAACAAATGATCTCCTGATTCACCATTCTTTGAGAAAAAAATAAATGCCTGAATAGAAAACATAGCCCCCAGGAGGGTAGTCAAATCTGAATTAGATTGGCTAGGGATCAAAAGATAAAGGCAAGAATTGTGGCTGTAAATTAAAAATTTTTACATTTATGAGGAAAAACATAATTTTTTATCTTTTACATTTACTGAGAGATATACCAAAAGCATCGAATCAAAAATTAGAAATAATTTTTGAATGTATCAGTGATAATTCATGTATGAGGTCTTCTGGATTTAAAAAATATTTATAGTAGGCCTGGCATTTATCTGAAGGGATTGGTGTAGTTCGAATCATTCTTGCAGCACCATAGGAATCACATTCTACTTCCAATGCCAAAGAACTCCTTCACTCTTAGGAGAAGAGCAAGTACGTTAATAAACTCATGATCACACAAATAAGAAAGCCGATGCTGGGAATAGCCCTTGGATACATTTCCCATTTCCTTTTATGACTCTCTAAAATTATTGCTTAATGACTGGCTTATTCTTTTTAAGTTTTTACTTAAATTCCAGTTAGTTAATATACAGTGTAATATTAGTTTTAAGTAGAAAAACTAAATCTAGTGATTCAACACTTCCAAATATCACCGGGTGCTCACCAAGACAAGCACTCCTTAATCCCCATCACCTATTTCAGTCATCCCTCACCCATCTCCTCTCTGGTGATCATCAGTTTGTCCTCTACAGTTAAGAGTCTCTTTTATTGGTCTGCCTCTCTCTCTCTTTTTTTCTTACGATCATTTGTTTTGTCTCTTAAATTCCACCCATGAGTGAAATCATATGGTATTTGTCTTTCTTTGGCTGACTTATTTTTGCTTAACATAATATTCTCTAGCTCCATCCATGTTGTTGCAAATGGCAAGATTTCATTCTTTTTTATGGCTGGATAATATTCCATGGTGTGTGTGTGTGTGTGTGTGTGTGTGTGTGTGTGTGTGTGTCTGTGTGTGTGTCTGTGTAGGAATATATATGTATCACCTTTATCCATTCATCAGTTGATGGACTTTTGAGCTGTTTCCATAATTTGGCTATTATAAATAATGCTATAAACACTGGGGTGCATCTATCCCTTTGAATTAGTATTTTGTGTTCTTTGGGTGTGCATGTGTTGGATCATAAGATAGTTCTATTTTTAACTTTTTGAGGAACTTCCATACTGTTTTCCAGAATGGCTGCCCCAGTTCACATTCCTTCCAACAGTTTAAGAGGGTTCCCCTTTCTCTGCATCCTCGCCAACAGCTGTTGTTTCTTGTGTTTTTTATTTTAGCCATCCTGACAGGTTTGAGGTGCTATCTCATTGTAGTTTTGATTTGTATTGCCCTGATGATGAGTGATGTTGAGCATCTTTTCATGTGGATGACTGGCTTATTTTTATTTAAAGTTAATTATTGCAGAGGGAACTACTCCAAAGTACTCTTATCAGATTGCTAAGTCACATGACCAAACGTACATCTTGTTAATAAAGAGATAGTTACTGGCACAGAGCAAGCATTCGGTATATCTTTGTCAAATGAAGAAATGAATGACTATCAAGTTAAAAGTAAAAACAAACAGATGAAAACATCCTGCAGTATGTGTGCATGCATTTGTGTGTGTGTGTGTGTGTGTGTGTGTGTGTGTGTGTGTGTGTGAATAGAGACTCAAAAACCTACCCACAGACAAATAGTTTCCAAAAACCCAATAGCAGAAAAGCCCTCTGTGAAGCTGATGGTTATGTGAAGTACCTTTCCCCCATACAAGTCATTCCCCAAATATAGCATCATCCCAAAGTAAAACCCCACGTCATCATTTGGAAAATTCTGAGGAATACTAAAGGAGAATGGAAATGCATTGCTTCTACCCTCAGAGGAAATGAGGCCACTGGGAAGGGGAAGCCATGTGAGAAGCCCTGTGACCCTATACAACCTCCCAGCTGCCTAGGGAACAAAGCCAACGTGTGGATCTCAACCTCAAATGCCACGAGGAGAGAGAGAATCTAGTGTGTGGCATTTGAGCCCCATAGAGACACACCCTGTTTTCTACCACAGCTGTCCATGCTGTTCTTGGATGGGTACAAGGAGGAGGCCAACTGAGAGCAAAGTCAGAGGGCACAGGAGTGAATTTGGTGCTTAGACTCACTTACTATTTAAACAAATTGATCTTTGCTAGAATTATTTTTAAACCAGAACTTCATTTGATGGCTCTGTTCCTTTGTTTTTTCCAGCATGACACAGTGCTTGGAGCAATTCACAGTTACTGACTCTGTACTTAACATTCACCTAAAAGTCACTGATAAAATCGAGAAACAAACCAAGAGAGAACACCAAGCTCACCAAAACCCAGTAATATGCCTTTTACTTAATCTACTGTAAACAGACTACTTACTCTAAAATGAATAGAGGAAATTTTTCATTATCTTAGAAGTCTATTTCACATGCTTTTTAATGTTTCTAAACACCCAGCTAGTCACATTCCTGAGAAGGGTGACATTTCTGGGGCACAGAAAGAATTGTATTCATAGATATTTCCCCAATCACATTACTGCCTCCTGCCAAGAATGTCCAGTTGATTGCTCAAGGGAATGTATCTCACCTGAAATCCCTTGGATTGCATACATTTGTTTTATGCTGACTGTACTGGGTCAAATTCTGCTGGGCATTTAGTCCAGCAACTCTTAACCAAATTCTGTTCTTCTAGTCTAACATCAGGCTGCACTGAAGTAAGGAAACCTGGGTACCAATAATGGCTCTGACCTTGGATAAAACACTTATCCTTCTGGAGGTGCTGGCTTCCTTCTCTGTGAATTAAGAGTGTTGTACCAGATGACTTCTAAGATGTCTTTTGACTCAGAGATAATATGTGTTATGATTGGCAGTGAATTGCAAATTACAGTTAATTTTTCATCCCCTGAAAGGAATCAATCACAGCGTTTTATAAGGAATAATGGAAAGCCACCTCTAACATCTTTTGTTACCAAAATAGGGAAAATGAGGCCCATAGAAAAAAGGTATCCCAGTTAGTGGTGGAACAGACTGAGACCAAAATCTCTTGACATGTTGTCATGTACTTCTATAACAGGCTGTCAAACACTTGTCTACTGAAAATGGAAGTCTGGCATGAGCTAAGGAGTGGAGGAGTCAAATGCCCCTCCTCTCTATTCTTACTGCTCTTTGCTAATTTTTCTTCTGCCACTTACTACACTGCATTATAGAGTGCAGGTTTGAACAACATACACACACAGACAAGCATGCTCACCCACAAAGACACTTATGCACACTTAGATTGTGAACTCTTTGAGGACTTTGTCCACTCCAAAGGGTTTTACACATGGTAGACACCCCATGAACATTTGCTGGATGTCATCCATGAAATGCTTCTAGGAGAATGTATGAGAAGCCGGGGGTACCAACAGTTTACTCCTCCTCTACTCCATGGTCTACTCCCCTTCTAGATTTTGCTCCAATAGCCCATAAACACAACCCGCAGATACCTACATAGAGATAACAGTGACAACCCTTATTACTGGAGGCGCAGTAAGTTTCAGCCTACAAGATGCCCTGGTGAAGATGGATTCGCAAATATGGTTTGGACTCAGACCAAAATAAGGCTTCACGCTTCCCCCCCCCCCCCCCTTCTAGCCTTGGGAACTATTGGGATGAAGAGCTAGATGGACAAAGAGACTGAAAACAGAGGACTGCAAACAGCCTTGACAACCACCCAGGCACCCACAGAGCAGACAAGTCATCCTGTCACCCTCCTAGCCTGGTCACACGAGACCAGACATCAGGGAAGGCATCTAATTCTGACCAATCCATGAGGCGGGCAGTGCAGGAGGTGGGGGGCAGGCTCAAGTTTGTGAGTCTGTTGACTGCAACTAGGATCCAGTTGACACCTGACTTTCACATTAGCAACTCCTCTTTCAAAAAGAGGCTTGAAGAAGGGGAGGAAAAAAACAAAACAGGAGAAAGAATGCCAAAAGAGCTTCTGGTGATACCTCCTTGCATGGAAATATCAAGATAGAAAAACAAAATTTCTCCCCTTGAGAATGAAACAATTATTTAAATTGTGAAGAATTTAAATCAAAAATATAAAATAAAATCATTTTTAACAGAATACTGTATTTTTAATGTTTATTTTTGAGAGAGAGAGACAGAGCACAAGCAGGGGAAGGGCAGAGAGAGAGGGAGACACAGAATCTGAAGGAGGCTCCAGGCTCTGAACTGTCACCACAGAGTCCGATGCAAGGCCCAACTCCTGGACCACAAGATCATGACCTGAGTCAAAGTCGGATGCTTAACTGACTGAGCCACCCAGGCCCCCCCAGAATACTCTTTAAATGGTTGTATTGGTTTTATAAAATAAAACTTATTGAGAATATTTGGGTGATTTATATGAGCCCATGGTGAATTTTTAATGTTTAAATAAATATGTTTCCTTTATAGAAGTAACATGATTATGGCAGAAAATTTGGAAAATATAAAAACACAGCAAGAGGGAAAAAGTTAATTGCTCATAGTCTCAGCCCTCTGGAGGCAACAATTAATAACAAATGCATTTCCTTCTGCATACTTTTTAGAGTTTTGATCATATGATGTAAATGTTAATTTTAGTTTAAAAAATAACATCTTTTCTAATAAAAGTAATATGCATTCATTGTAAAAAAATTTCTTGACAAATACAGAAAAAAAATCACTCTAAAATCCATAATTGGTATGTTGTTACTTTATGCCAAAAGGAAAATGAAACATGAAGTGCCAACATTTTGCTTTACAAAGCTTTTACGAAAGTCCCTGGTTTTGAATCTGCAAAGAAATCATAGTAGAAAGTTATACTTCTAAGGTAAGCTTGTATAGTTATAATTTTAAGGTAAATTCACATACTTCTAAGGTAAATGCTGAGCTAAATTTCCTTTCTCATTGGAAATTATTCAGAAAATTCTTTAGACACATCACTTCTTCAGATCTCTTAAATTCATTGTCTGTACAGTGTACACAGAAGAAAGTAAAAAAATATCCAACTCAATGCCAACGTCCTAGTGGTCTCTCCAGGCTGTATTCAGTTAAGATTATAGCTCAGAGATGGGGGGGGGGGTTAGTACTAAAATTTAGACACACAACTTTACTTCAATCATAGCTAAGCTTTTGGCAAATAATATCAGTTAGACATCAGGAAGAAGCTCTAATGCAGTGGTCTCAACCTCAGCTGTGCATTATATAACCACCTGGGGAGATTTTAAAATCCCAGATAGGTAGGCTCAGGCCAGTGAAATCAGAATCTCTGGGATCTGGCATCAGCATTTTAAAATGCAGGTGATTCCAATGTATAATCAAGGTTGAGACTCCTGCTCTAGGGAGAAAACATTGCCCCCAGTAATGTTTAGAGTGCATAGAATGTCTTTTACCTAGATGACCATACCCTTGTCCCACAATGTAGATTAGAGCTAACTAGAGGCAGGGAATATTTTTTGTTTTCTGATTATATATTTTTTTAAATTTTTCAGTATAAATATATTTTAAACATAGTCTGATCCTTCTATTGTAACGTTCCAACAATTTTTTTTTAATTTATAAAACTAAGTTAATTCACCAAATATTTAATTCACCAAGATTTTGGATTATATTTGCTCTCTACTTCCCATCATCCATAGATTAAAACTGCATATAAATTAGAAGTTTCACAGTAAATACAGCTATAAAAAAGTGCAGGAGAACATTTGGAGAATAAATATGCGATTTGAGGACAGTAGTAAGGCCAGAAATTATAAGTGTGAATATGAACTGATTTAGCTATACAGCAATGTGAAATCTCTCTATGCAAAACACCACAATGCTAAACAGTATATGAAAACCAAGGGAAGAATATTTGCAATGTGTATGGCAGATGTACAGTTAATATCCTTAATATTTAAATATTCTTACAAATTAAAAAGGTAAAGACCAACCCAAAAGAAAAAATGTGAAAAGTCAAAAAATAAGCTATTCACAAAAAAATAATCAACCAAAATATATGGGCAAATAGACGTTCAATCGCAGCAAGAAAAACATTAATTCAAATTGAAATAATAAATGGCCTCTTATGAGACTATAAGGAGGTCTTGATTCTCTCTTAGTGGGGAAATAACTCCAAAATATCCTTTTTCCAGATTCACCAGTTTTCTTAACATTTTGCCACATTTGCATTATCAATCTCTTGCTCTTCCCAAATACATATTGAAGTATAGGTTGCATACATCATCCTACACCATTCCTCTTTACTCCCCAATTTTACATGTGCATCTCTATTTTAATCTTTGATTATCCTTTGTAAGACTTTGTTTTCTGCCATCAAGCAAAGAGCTAATAATTTAGCTCATTCTTGTTTCAGTATAAGTATATATCAGAGCCATAAAACTATTCTCCAAAGGAATTTCCTTGGTCATGATATCACCTATAAAATAATCATATGTGACACCTGGCAAATTACAGACATGGTCACTTACTTCTGAGAGTTTGACCTCTGAAACATGGCCACAATCAATAAATTTGTAGTCATAAATGAAGAACTCTGAATTCCAAGAGAGTACAAGACGGCCAGTTTATCAAGGAGCTGACTGCCATGCATGCACATACGCACTAGATGCACACGCATATTCAAAGAAGCCAAGAAGCTGGGACACACCCATTGAGCTATGCTTTGAAATTTAAAACCCCAGGTGTCCAATTTTACAAATGTGCAAATTGCTAAAGTGAAATAAGATTCTGCTAAGGGTAAAAGGATATCAGGATTGGCAGGAGTGTGTGAGGAGGTGGAGGAAGGAGTCCTGAGGATGGAGAATTCAATGAATGTTGAGTTTGTAAGTATTTTCCTGGGCCAAGGAAACACTCCATTTGTCCACAAGAAAAAGAATCAGCTGCTGTGTTTGGGCATTGGCTATAGATATAGTGTGTTGGAACATATGGCATAGATCATGTTTAAACAAATACCAAAAATGCCTGCCTAAAGTGGTCGTATTCTAATAATACATATGCACCATTGAATTCTATCTAAAGATGCACCTTGGGGCGCCTGGATGGTTCAGTTGGTTAAGCATCTGACTCTTGATTTCGGCTCAGGTCATGATCTAATGTTCATGAGTTTGAGCCCCAAGTCTGGCTCTGCGCTGACAGCACAGAGCTTTCCAGGGATTTTCTCTCTCCCTCCTTCTCTTCCACTCCCCTGCTCACGTGCTCTCTCTCTCTCAGAGTAAACTTAAAAAAAAAAAAATGCACCTTAATTGCATTAATATCATAATCAATTTTCAGTTTTTCAGTTTTCACTGCTGATTAAATGTTAGCCTTCCCTAACAAGCTAAGGAACCTGATTTAACCACTTACATTCATTGAAGTTCTGTTGTTTCTTCCAGTATGAGTTGAATATGTGAAAAATGATTATGATCATAAACTCTGCCAACCCAAACAAAAATAGTTTCATTCCAAATGTCTATCTAGGGGATAGGGTTTTCATTTCCTACCTTCATTCTAATCTTTGATCTACTATCCCGCATTGTTGTTTGTTTTTCATACTTTGAAACAATTTCAAACTCATAGAAAGTTACAAGTGAACTTCAAAATATCCTTTATCCAGATTCACCCACTGTTAACATTTTGCCACATTTGCGCTGTCAACCTCTTGCTCTTTCCAAATATGTATTGAAGCATATGTTGCATTATCGTGGTACATCATGACCCTTTACTCCTCAGTATTACATGCACAATTCTTAAAAACACGAATATTGACTTTATTCCCTTACATAACTTCAGTACAGTTATTAAATTCAAAATACTTACCATGGATATAATACTTTTACATAATCAATCATCCTTATCCCAATTTTGCCAGTTATGTCCTTTATACTTTTTTTTATCTTCAAAGAGTCCAGGATCCAGTCCAGGATAACACATTTTATTTAGTTGTTATTTAGTCTTTAGTCTCCATTAATCTGGAGCAATTTGTCAGTCTTTCTTTATCTTAATGACAGAAGTACTTTCAAAAAATACAGGTCAGTTTTTTTCAAGTGTTCCTCAATGTGGGCTAGTCTTTCTCATAAGATTCAGTTTATTGCATCCCCAGCCAGAATACTGTGTAACTGATACTGTGTCCTTCTCAGGAAATCATATATCACGGCAGGTTATGTCTGTTGTCCCCTTACTAGTGATGTTAATTTTCTTTTCCCAATGGTTTGTTCTGCTTATCCACTGTATAGTTATTATTTTTTCCCATTGCAATAATGAGCAGTCTGTGGGGAGACATTTGGAAAATCATGCAAATATCCTGATCCTCCTCAAATTCCCGCCCCCCCCCCCCGATTTGTCATTCATTGGTGATTCTTGCTCAAACCAATCTTCAGTATGATAATTACAAAATGGTGATTTTCCAACTCCTGATTTATCAATTTTCTGATATAAGGAGCAGCTCTTCTTTGTCTGTCTGTCTATCTATCTATCTATCTATCTATCTATATTCTTACCTAACTACCTACCTGTCTGCTATATACTATCCATGGATTGACTCATGGATCTCTATTTTACTAAGTGGGTTATAATTCATTACTGTCTTTGCTTATTTTTGTGTTCAGATTGTCTCAGATTTAGCCAGGAGAAGTAGCTTCAAAGTGGTTTCAAGGGGTTTTTTCACATTACCCCATCATTTTTTTTTTTTTTAGCACTTTTTTATATTCTGACTCAAGATGCTTCTGTTTCAACTCTTACCTTCCCTACCACAGTCTTGAAATCAGGTGTTTCTACAAGGAATGTTCCTTTTAATGGGGAATGGTATTTAGTAGGCAAGATTTGGGTACTAAGTGTGCTGATTACTATTAGAATATAATTGCTTATAGCTGGTTCAAAAGGCAAAGAGCAAAAAGAGGCAAACATATGTAGATGGATGCATGGATGGATGGATAGATAGATGAAATAATCAGTTCATACCTTCAATTCCAAATTTCAATCCACCCGACCAAGTTTTTCCTTGCCTTTCTTTCCCCCCTATTTGCATCTTCCTGCACAGTATAAATCTTGTTTTCCAAGAATATCAACCCATTCACTCATCCTTTATTCCTACAATGCATAGGAAATCATTTTAGAATTGTTATGCTTATACCAGAAAAAAGAAAGGCTTCAAGATTCGTTTGTGGGTCTTTTTTCCCCCCTGGACCAAGATTATGGAGTAAAAGGACTATATTCGAAAGTCACTTGGGAAAAACTTCCATTTTTAGTAAGACAGAATATATACTTTTCTTTATTCTGTTCATTACAACTAATAATGTGGACTTTATACTTAAACAGAAGACTCTGAAACATGGAGAGAAGGCAGACTAGCCAGGCACTTAAGACCCAAGGGACAACATGGTGATGAGTTCCCTGGCTTTTCCTTTTGGCTTCTGTATGCCACACTTGGAGCTGATGATGCTGGCGATCCAGAAATGCCAACAAGCATAGACAAAAACAACAAAAGGCTGCTTTCTCTAGCCAAAGAGTTAGGAAAGCGCAGCTTAGCAAGACAGGAAACTTTTGGACAATAACCAGTCTACTCCAGTCAGATACTGAAGACAAAACTGGGGCCCCATCTTCACTGAAGCAAAAGCCAGGTGAGGAGCTTAGACTTTGATCCTTGCCACTCTGTAATGAAGCATCCTAGCCTCTCCCCACTACATGTTAGTCTACAATTATCTTAAAATTAAAAATTTAATTTAAAACAAAAATGAAAAACATATTTGAACTATTTCTCCCCCCCTTCAATGTAGACAGATTACGAATCGGAAATACAGTTTGAATATTTTGTTTTTGTTTGCATTTAATTTATGTTCTTATTTTCCCATACTT